ACTCGACGTCACCAACTTCCCACCTCTGGGTGCGGCAGCGATGGCCAGGCCCGGGGACCCCCTCCGTCTGTCCTCCTCTGGACACTGCGAACCTGTCATCAAGAGGGCCATCCGGCCTTCTCGTCCGTCGTCGACATGGACCAAGAGCTCGACCGTCTCTCCATGCATGGCATGGTGGCTGGTACTTTGTGTTCGGGGAACCGCATCGCCGGTGGTGGAGCCGGAGGTCATCAAGAGGGCCATCGCACACAACAGTTCCGGTTCGTCTCGGAGGATGTCACGCGTCGTCGCAGCCGCGCCTCGAAGACTTCTTCGTCGACTTCAAGCACCTTGCTTCCCACCACACGTGGGACTGACGAGGTCGTTGATGGCGCAGGGACCTTCCCCTATCGCAACCTCGACATCCACACAAGGTCGTGGGCAATCGGTACTTGGTCACCGCGCGGCGACATCTGCGAGCTCAAGTACCGTGTTCGCTTTGTGCTCGGAGGGCATCCCCTTCACGCCGGAACGAGCATCGCCCAAGGGGGGCTGTCGCCAACAGAACCGCGACCTCGACTACGCCGAAGAGCGGCATTGGACCAGCGCCGACAGGACCACAAGGCGCTCGTGTGCAGGCTGGACACACAATTCGTCCAACATTCGAAGGTAACACGACTCACATTGTCCTGCCTCTCAAGGCAGAGCTCCACCGCTTCGCATGTGATTCTTTCTTGCTGCCGGGCCCGCTCACCTTGGTCTTTGGTGCACCTTGATGGACGAAGTGGAGGACCCTCCGGTAGAGACGGACAGCAACCGGCTCGCAAGCCCAGCGTTCCGCCCGCGCGTGGGACTACGAGGTCGTTGATGGAGAAAGGACATCGGCCACCGACCGACACGACCCTCGCTTCCGCAACGCCTGCGCGACATCCACGTTCCTAGCGGCAGCTCGCATCTTGCAGGCGGCGGACGTCCCAAGACGTCGTGCGCGCATTGGCGCAAGAAGCTGGCGAGGGGCCACTCAGCCGAAGGCCGTGCAGGCTCGATGAAAAGCTTGGCATCCTACTCGCGTCTCACCCATGACCTCGCTTCAAGCGCCCGCGACAAGGACCGCATGGCGGGGCAGATAGGAATCTGAGTCGAATCTTTGGACTAGTCGTTCAACGTCGGGAGCTCATGGAGCTCCACATCTTTTGTGAGTGTCCAGCTATGGTGTCGTCGCCAGAGCCCTCTACCACGCGCTTGCACTACTTCACCTTAGCATTAGCATCAACTCGCGAGCAACAAATTTTGCTTTGTATCACGCCATGGGATGTATCGGCGGCGCCAATTTGCGCTCTCAAGAACGCATGCCTCCGTGTTGGTCATCACAGAGGGCGTCCTGCATGCCTCCCTGCGGCTTTATTATTAAAAGGGCACAATTGGGCTCCTTATAGCACAGTTGAATTGCGATACTAAGCGGAACGTCGGGGCTTGAATGAACGACCGGCCGCAAAGTTAGTGAGAACCATCGGGATGTCTACAAGAAACAAAGATGCAAGTTATGGATCATAATGTAGAACCGAGGGGACCTTGGCGAGAACAGACTCGAGGCGCCGCGGCGGTGAGCCGACCTCTCCGACATTGTACTTACCTCGAACGCCATACATAACGCGCAAATCAACATGAGAGCCAAGGACCAAATTACGGTGGTATACGGCCCGCAGGGAGCGCTTCAAGTCCAAGAATTGAAGAACATTCCCCATAAGTCCACAATAGATGGCTCATCGCAGGAGATTTCTCTCTCATCTACCAAAGGAAGACAAGTCAACTGACTTCAGCGGTGCAAGCGGCAACAACCATCATCCACCACCAAGCTCCCCCAAGGTTCGTGCTCATGTCGGAGTCCATTCAATGATCGACCTCTCACTCCTCCGCTCAAAAATTCTTGGACAAAGATGGAGGGCTTTCAAGATCTTCCCCCATCCCGGAAGCTCTTCCTATGAAGCGATTGCACACACGAGTGGGCGCAGCGGGCTGGAAGAAAGACAAGATAGGGGACCACTCACCATAGTAAAAGAAGTATTGTTCTCATCTTAGGTTGCTCAATGCCATGGAGCTTCACCTATGATGACTCCCGTGATTCTTTCTTGAAAAATCAAGAATCGAGGGAGAGATCGAGGCTAAATACATCCGATGTGGAGATGCTAACACAAAATTTTTCCCCGTCGCCAATGCACGACGGAGAAGAATTATAACTACATACGAACGGTGGCGATCACACAGATTATTTTAGAAACCACATTGGCTCGGGCGTCGCTTCCACAATCGGGCGAGTCTACTCAACATGATCTCTCCGCGGCTTGCTTTCTCCCCATGCCCCACAAAGCGCCATGAGCGGATGGCTTCTTCGGAAACCATTAAAGATGATGTTAGCACCATGAACAATTTTATGCACATTCCGCCCGGGCTCAATGGCTAAACTCAGATCCATTATCCTGCGCCCAAAAAAGAAGCAACAAGAGTTACTGATTTTCACCCATCGCCTAGTCCATGGCGTGCAAAGATCTTCTCCAAAGTGTTAGCAAATGGACTCAACTCCTTGTCTCGAATCGCCAGAGCACTTTTATAAAAACAGAAGCATCCATGATAATTTTCAACGCGAAGATTCCGGCTTTGTTCACTAGACATCCACAAAGCCTTTGACACGGTACATTGGGGGTACTTGCTTGAGACGTCAGGCCTCGGGCGGACAGCGATGGCGTGAGTGGATCTCCATCCTCCCACGTACATCCACCTCGACACCCATGCTGAATGGGCGACGGGGCCACTTTTAGGAAGGTGCCCGCCGCGGGGATTCGCTCAGATGGGATCATCACTAGCCATGGACCCTCAACCCATGACATGGCAACCCAAGAGGATACTCACCCCATTACCAATCACGGCGGCAAAATGGAGAACCTCGATGTATGCAGATGATGCGGCCATTTTCGTCAGCCCCACAAAAGACGATGTAGAAGCCGTCAAAATCATCTTGCAGGCTTTTGGCACATTCTCGACTCCATATTAATCTACAAAAGAGCTCAAGACATCCAATCGGGTTGTGCAAACGTCGACCTAGACCAAGTCCTGGCACCTTTCACGGTACTAGAGGGGGCTTCCATGCAAATACTTGGGCCTGCAACACACATTAGAAAACCGCAAAGGATCCATATGCAACCTCTCATAGACCGTGACAAGCACGAAGCTACCAAATGGAAAAAGATTGCTAATCCTCGGGACGTCACTCTTGTAACCTCATCCTCTCCTCCATGCCAACCTATGACAAGTGTTTCCTCGGCGCTTGGGCTAAGAAAAAGATCGACAAAATAAGATCTTTCTTGTGGAAGGGGGAGGAGAATGCAAATGGCGGCCACTGTCTAGTTAACTGACGAACGGTTACCAAACCAAAAGACCTGGGCGGTTTAGGCGTCCCTGACCTGGAGAGATTTGGGCGAGCCCTCCGGTTACGATGGCTATGGCAAGAATGGGTGGACGAGTCCAAGTCTTGGAGCGGCTCGGAGCTTCCAAGTTCTGATGATGACCGCCTCCTCTTCAACTCCCCAATCATTATATCTTTGGGGGATGGTGCAAAGACAGTTTTGGCACCACAGTTGGCTCGATGGTCAGGCTCCTAGTTACCTAGCCCCGAACTTGTTCCGCCTAGTCTCAAGGACAAACCGAACGGTGCAACAAGAGCTACGGAACAACAATTGGATGCATAAACTAGGAAGGAAAATCACCTCGGCTATCCACATAGAGGAGTTTGTGTCCCTCTGGATACGAATACAGGATGTGCACCTGCAACAGGGCGTCCAGGACACCATCACCTGGCGTTGGACCAATGATGGGAATTACTCCACCCGATTGGCCTACAGAATCCAATTCAGAGGTTCGCTCCTCCCCTTCCGTACGGACTTGATTTGGAAAGCGCATGTGGAGAACAGATGCAAGATCTTTGTCTGGATCTTAGTGCAAGATAAAATTCTAACGGCACAAAACCTACAAAAAAGAGGGTGGCCACACCAACAACAATGCGTGCTGTGCAACGGTCCCTTAGAGACAGGCCTCCACCTATGCCTTTGTTGCCCTTTTGCTAAGGCGGTTTGGGATCAAATCCTCTCGTGGGAAAACTTCACTCAAATCCAACAACAGCACCAGGTAAACCCCACCCATATCAAGTCATGGTGGGAAGACGCGGCAGCAAAAGTGCCAAGATCTGAGCGTAGGAGGCTTAACGGAGTAGTAATCTACACCTTTTGGAATATATGGAAAGAGAGAAATAGGAGAATTTCGACAACATGATTGAAACGGTGCCGCAAATAGCCGCAAGGATAAAGGAAGACATAGAGCAAAGGAAGAAAGCATTTGATTACGTTTAGCTCATATGCTTATGGGGGGGTGAAACCATAATCTCATTTGTCCTTGCTTGTACATAAACTTTCTTTCCCTATCTTAATTGAAAGGCAGAGCTCCTGCCAATACGTTCAAAAAAAGGACAACTTCCAACATTGATGTATATTAGCATGTCTACTAGATGTTGGTCAGTAGATTATGCATGTACACATTTTCCAAACCTAGAGATGTTTATACCGACAAATCATTATCAATTTTTCAAACCCAACAAAATGAGGTTTACATCAACAATTATGGCCAATCTGTTCTGTTTATTTGATCTCAAAATGCAACTACTTAGTCCCTAAACCAAAAAGCACAACAAACTACACATTTTTTTCAAGATGTTGAATAACATAATGTAGTGATACATATCAAGTTTCTAAAGCACTCTCACCTGGCCACGAGCCTCCGTTGTGGTAGCTCCACCTGGTGTTCTTCGGGTCACTTCCAGTGACTATCTGCCATTCCTGATTTTCCATTGCAGAATAACAGATCTTGAGTGGCATCTCACCAATGAGTTCTTGCCAGAGCTCCTCCACAAGATCCAGTATTGCTTCAGCCTGCTCTCCGGTCGCCAATGATGACAGAATTGCAATTAAGTTGCCTCAGCAAAACCAGCGGAAATCCATCCTTGCAGGACTAACATTGCCAATGAAGTATCCACCCCAGTTACGCATGAAGTCAGATATCCAATCAGGTATTGATTCGGGTATCGCATTGAACTTGTTCAAAGCTGACTGTGAGTACTCTTCAGTCTTGTAGCGGTATATGTCATCAGGTCTTAAGAAGTCTAACCAGTAGTAAGTGTGCAGATGGTAGCTCAAAGCTTGGATTCGTTTTGTGATGTGGTTCACAAAGTCAGCATCAGAGTCTTGTTTCAACAAACTTAGGGCACATCTCATAGCCATGAAAAAGAGAGCCTGGATTTCAATTGGGTAGCCATATATGCCCTGGACAGATCTCAGTCAATAGTTCAATAAACAAGGTGCATGATAAACATGTACAAACGTTCAAGACAAGCATTTAGATAACTTGCTGTTCCCAGGACCAAGAGCACCAAAATGGTTAGTAAATTTTCTAGGTTTTCCGTGAGATGAAATATAACCACTGGGAATTAACAAAAAACTACTTGCAATCTGCCTTCAATAAGAACAAAGAACACGATCAAACTAAAAAAACTAACACTGCATCAGAAAGCTTAAGAAGTTTGACAACATGTTCGCTAACAGCAAAGCAAATTATGTTGTTATTCACAAATCACAACTACATACTTCCTGCCATACACTACCTTGTACCATTATTAATCACAATCCTCTTAGGTTCCAAGTGAAGGGCGGGCCTGGTGCAAGCGGTAGAGTCTTACCGCCTGTGACCGGAAGGTCCTAGGTTCGAGTCGCGCTCTCCTCGCATTGCACAGGCGAGGGTAAGGCTTGCCACTAACACCCTTCCCCAGACCCCGCACAGAGCGGGAGCTCTCTGCACTGGGTACGCCCTCTTAGGTTCCAAGTATTTGGCCCTGATTTTAAGAGCTAGGATAGCATCCTATAAATGGTTCCTCCTATAGAACCCACAGGGAAAAATATACAAAGTAACGATATATTCGATACATTTTCATATGAGCTCGAGCAGTTTCAGTTGTGAATGAGACGGGACTTGCAAGGATGCAATTGAACGATAAGTTTGTAGTAAGACAGAGGTACAAGAGATACAGTGTCAAACATAATAAGAAAACAGAAGTAGCTGGATTGAGGTGGGCAGCCTACCATTCTCCGGTCTATCATGGAGCACTCATCAGCACAAAGCAAGGCTGGAGAAGTATCACATCCCTCCAAGACGCACAACCTGAGAATAAGGTGCATGGCCCTTTGGTAGTTAGGGCATTCAGCCAGAGAATTGTCCCCAGTCCATTCGGTGTAAGCACAAAGGAGAATAATCCACCATAAGCCAGAATCTACAGGAGCAACCCTCCCGATGGCGGTTTCACCAAAATCAGCCAGTAAGCTTTCTGTCTTCTGGGTAGGGTTGCAATGATGCACCTTAAAGCTTGCAGGCATCACACCCTGACCAATCTTCTCCCTTGACTGTAGGCGTGCAGTTTCTACCAGAAAATTCTTCACTGTCAAGTGTTTTCCTTTCATAAGAAAAGCCAATGTGCTAGGAATGAAATCCCTCATGAAAACCTGTCCCAATATACGAAAAAAACATAAATCATTGCTGATCAATTTGCATGCCTAGGCACAATGAGATGTATAATTCATGCATGAGATAGCTATGATTTATACACATGAATAGTCACCATCAGGATTAGGGACTACCATTTACGATAATGATAGATGCAAAACAAATAGTAATAGAAGGGTGTATAGAATAATATAAAAAAGCATGAAATCTTTAAAATTGACAGCACTGTCAACACTTTAACTGGAAACAGAAAAGGTCACCTGGTCATAGTTGAGTGCTGCCCCCTGAGACTTGTCTACTGCAGCAACAGTCCCAATTGGCTGGCCTCTGAAGCTGTGTGATGCATTAGTATCTGTAGGTGTTTCTTCATGGAGTGAACACTGTGATCCTCCTGGGATTTTACTGATGTCAATGGTCTGGTGCAGACGAGGAGGTTGCAGACCATTAAGTTCTATGTCAGATAAGGTCACAACACAAGATCTGTGCCTCTCAATGTGGTGCATCCTTGTCCTTTTCTCAGGTTTTGGCAGCGAATCATGGTTCTCATCATCTTTCAGTTCTGTGATCTTACTCTCTGGGAGCTTTAACAGGGGAGGAGGTTGAGTACATTGTACCATCTTTGCTAGTTGTTGAAAGAGAGCTCTGGTCAACAGAATGGAAAATAAAAAGAATTAGCATATGCATAACTAATTTCAATATCAGGGCATTATACAAAACTGCATTAAGTTCTCATGTCCCAAAACATATAAAGGAACTGTCTGTTAGTTGCATACTTGCATCGCTAGCTCTTGGCACTTGAAATGAATACAGGTACATTGTGAACATTTTCCACATCATGAACATTACAACAACAACAACAAAGCCTTTAAGTCCCAAACAAGTTGGGATAGGCTAGAGTTGAAACCCAACAGAAACAATCAAGGTTCAGGCACGTGAATAGTTGTCTTCCAAGCATTCCTATCTAAGGCTAAGTCTTTGGGTATATTCCATCCTTTTAAGTCTCCTTTTATTGCCTCTACCCAAGTCAACTTCGGTCTTCCTCTGCCTCTCTTCACGTTACTATCCTGACTTAGGATTCCACTACGCACCGGTGCATCTGAAGGTCTCCGTTGCACATGTCCAAACCATCTCAACCGGTGTTGGACAAGCTTTTCTTCAATTGGCGCTACCCCTAATCTCTCACGTATATCATCGTTCCGAACTCGATCCCTTCTTGTATGCCCGCAAATCCAACGCAACATACGCATTTCCGCGACACTTAGCTGTTGAATATGTCGTCTTTTCGTAGGCCAACATTCTGCACCATACAACATAGCAGGTCTAATCGCCGTCCTATCAAACTTGCCTTTTAGCTTCTGTGGTACCCTTTTGTCACATAGGACACCAGACGCTTGCCGCCACTTCATCCACCCTGCTTTGATTCTATGGCTAACATCTTCATCAATATCTCCGTCCCTCTGTAGCATTGATCCTAAATATCGAAAGGTATCCATCCTAGGCACTACTTGACCTTCCAAACTAACATCTTCCTCCTCCCGAGTAGTAGTGCCGAAGTCACATCTCATATACTCAGTTTTAGTTCTACTAAGTCTAAAACCTTTGGACTCCAAAGTCTCCCGCCATAACTCCAGTTTCTGATTCACTCCTGTCCGGCTTTCATCAACTAGCACTACATCGTCCGCGAAAAGCATACACCAAGGGATGTCCCCTTGAACATTACTATTGAAAAAATAGAAAGCACGACAGTCACACAAGGTTTAGGTAAGAAAACAGGGACAAGTAAAAACTTTAAGATCTATTTTAACTAAGCCCCCGGGAGCTTTCTTTTTTACTAAACCACAAGTAAATTAAACTACAATGGGGTAGCACCTGGCCACCTATGCCTGAAAAAAAGGAAGTTCATGCAAAAAAATAACTATGTACTGCAAGCAACCTGTGTATATTCTAGCAGCATGATATGTAAAATACTTCTCTCACGTAGAACACTTAAGCCAACACAATTTATTGTTTCCTTAAAGTACGCTGAAGCCAATACAACATGCTACTGCAGTACTTTAATTCTTGCTCATACTCTAAGATTTCAATGGCAAATGGAGACTACTGACTACAGATTATTCCTATTCCATAAATAATGATCAGTTACTGAAGACAGTATACAACTTCTGGGCCCAAAATTGTTATACCAATCTAGTGGATCTAGCACCTTAGAAAGCAATCCGCAGAATAAAAAGGCATTTCAGCTCCTTGTATAATAAAATACCCCAGTGCACATGCATTTGGCTACAAATTTGTAATGTACGGGACCACTTCCCAGTTCCCACGCATCGCCACCCAATTGAAACCTCACGAAATCTCCACACCTGACAAGATCAGATGAAGCATGCAAAGTTCACAAGTGAAAGCCCCTAAATGCTGTGAGGTCAGGCTGTATTGTAGGTGACGCACACCCAAGATTAGGATAAGGATGTACAAGTACAAGCAAAAAGAATGAGAATGGTAAACTTAGATTCATATTCAGGTTTCAAAGGCAGAAGCACAACCATGATTAAGTTTTGGGCATCGCAGCCACAGCGCCCGCCTCATACTTCTAGATTCTAGTAACTGTAACGTTTAGTGGAATAAGAAGCAACGATATATAACCTATCACATGCAATGGAACACATGCGCCACGTTAACACTTAATACTAAGTTTCAATAAATCTGCTCTACATTAACCCATTTATCTAACTTGGAATTTGTTTTTAAATAATAACCTTATTATGCAGCATAATCTGTACCAAGTCAAAGTATCACTAATCCAAGAAGGTTGCAGTTAGCTTGAAAACATGGGGGAACAAGCTGACATATTCTTAAAGGTTTTATTGATGCATCAAAATTCAGTGACAGAGGAATAGTACGGAACTCCCAGAGCACTGAAACATATATACTGCCTCCAACCCACTAACAATATGTACAACTCCAAGTCTGGAAAGTAAGGAAATCTCAGAAAGTACTACCGACCATGCAGATACTAATGATCCTCCCATCAGAGACACCAGAATTTCAGACCACGAGCATAACCAAAGCACAATAAGCAAATGTCTTGCTGCAAAATCCATGAAACTAGCAGCAAAAAGCATGCTGTTCGGTGAATGGGATGCAAGGTGGCAACCACATGTCGTTGTCCAATTGGCACAGCTACCAGATAGACCGTTCAGATAGAAGCACACACATGACACATGCATCAATCGTCAGAAAACAGCACCCTACAAGAACTGAGACGCCAGTCTAGTCGATCTATAGAACTTGAGAAAGAAAGAAACAAAAGAGCATTTCCCCTTGCACTGGAACCAAACACTACACCGCGCATGCTTTGGGCCACAAATTAAGTTCTGACGCACGGAAGCACCATCCACGCATGGCCACCCAATGGAAAACCCCACCAAAACCCCGATCAAATCGGACGAAGACGAAATTTCAGAGGCGAAAACCCCTCCGCGCGGCCCCGATTACCGGATACAAGGACGAGGAAACCCACATTCCCCAGCGATCCGCTTCCCTCCCACGGGGCCCGGCGGGACGGCTTGGAGTTTAGGGTTTTCATCGTTAGCGCGCGGGAAAACTAAAGCATCTCAGAGACCATTTCGCGGACGCGGGACGAGAGAGAGAGGAGAGGAGGGAGGAGGGAGGGTGGGAGGGGTGGGGGCTTACCTCCGGCGAGCGGCGGCGGCGGGTGATGGAGGCGGAGCGCGCGAGGAGGGTGGTTTTGCGCTGCCTCCCTCCCTCGAAGTACTCAAGTAGTGGCGTGAGGCGACGATGGACAGGACAGCTGGACAGGTGTTTAGACTGTCTCAACATGCGAACCACCTAGGCCTTTGTTTAGATGGACTTTCGTTTGTATTTGATAATTATTGTTTAATCATAGTCTAATTAGCTTTAAAAGATTTATCTCGTAATTTATAATTAAATTGTGTAATTAGTTATTTTTTTATCTATATTTAATACTCCATGCACGTGTCTAAAGATGTGATGTGATGAAGAGAGAGCGAAAAAATTAGAATCTAAACAAGGCCCTAACGTAAGAATGGATCTCCGATAGCAGGCTGTGTGTTCGCGAAATGAAATTTTTTTAATGTAACATAGAATGTTTTGAGGATGGAAGAGATTTTCGGATACTAATAAAAAAATTAATTACATAGTTCGTCTGGAAACTGCGAGATGAATTTATTAAGCTTAATTAATCCATCATTCGTCTCGTGATTTCCAACCAAACTGTGCAATTAGTTTTTTTTCGTCTATGTTTAATACTCCATGTATACGCCGCAAGATTCGATGTGATAGTTTAGATGAAAATTTTTGGAAACTAAACCAGGCCTATATTAGAGTGTTAGAAGATGCATAATCTAAATCTAAATATTCTCTCTTTTGAAGACCTATTTTGGGTGACAGGAGATGCATAATCTAAATCTGACTATCATTTCTTCTGGAGACCCATTTACACCTATTTACAGAAAGGGTTCTCGAGTATTATGGTTGAAGACAAAAAAAAAAAGGTAATGAAATATTAAACGTGAAATAGATCTGGTATTTGGGTCCCATTCGAGATTGTCTAAGGGGCGTTTTCCCTGCCGAACTGGCTCGCACGAAGAGAGCCAGGCCACCGTTGGCCAGGCCCAACGCAGCGTGATTGGTTAATATAATCGGTTTCATCCGGCCAGGCTAATAGAGACCCCATCTAGGTATCCAAACGCTGAGAAACTGTATTGCGAGAGCTAGGCCGGGGCATATACAAGGAACGCGTCTTAAGTACTCAAGTGGCGTGATCTCCAGACCCTTTTTCTCCTCTTTTTCGTTTTCTTTTCAATTTCATTTTGTGTATGAGGCCCGTCATTTCCATGTAGGGCTGAAAACAATAACGATAATTTCCGTTTACCGGGAATCGTTTTTGAAAAATTACCGACTTTTGCTCCTAAATGAAAGTGGTGACGCTAACCGAGGAAACGAAAATGAGAATGGTAAAACTATACGGTAATGAAAACGAAAATGATTTGCCTCACTTCCGACCGTTTTCGAAAAATACCGTAATTAGCCAGTATTCTACGGTTGATAATTACCAATCCATGAGCCCACAACGCCATCTCTGGCTCTTCCTGAATCATAGACTAGGCCCAGCGTACTGAGTGTTGAGCGCTCTCCTTGCTAGCCTAATCCCCACGCAAAAATCATGTCTCTTGCATTATTCCTCGTTTCTATCCTTTTTTAAGTCCAAGTATCGAACTAAGAACTTGGTTCGATTACGAGTGTACTGGTATGTAAGTTTGTGAGTGGCTAATATGTCTATGTGGCTATCAGCTTGTGTGCTCATGTGATCTAACTCTTAAGTCCAGGACGTTAGAACTTGTGGTTGTGGGCTTATGGCTTTTGTCACTTCTGGTTCTTTCGTATCAAGTATAACTATGTGTCAAGCTATATAGCTATTGTCATGCTCTGCAGATTGACGTGTTTATCGTATTTCAGATACCGCTTTGATGATTTTCGATCGTTGTTTATGCACTTTCGAACAAATAGTTTCGTTTCCAAAATTACCGGAATATCGACACCGTATTCGTTTCTGCCAATATCGTATCGATTTCATTTT